TCTCAGGCACATCTGAAGCCACGGGTCCCCGCTTTGCAGTCCCCCAAGGCTGTGTTTGGGATGGCTGCTCTCACAGGGGCAGCTTCGGCTTGAGGGAATAAAAGCACTTTTTTTCTGCTCTTTGAATCTGGCACCCTTTTGCTTTCAGGAGGGAGACAGGACCAGACTGACAACCAGTAGCACCCAGCACAGCTGAAGCAGCCAGCTGTTTCTTGTGCAATAGCACACACCAGTGTTTCCCCAGCTCGGCTTCTGCCACCAGATATGTTACCATGGGATACTGCATCCGAACATTGTAGTTTGACACACTGCTGCTCTCTGCAAGAAGACAGGGTCCTGCGCTCTTGCTGCTCTCCTGGAAGCAGCACCTGGGAAGGGGCAGGCTTGCTGCTGCCCATGCCGAGGCCGTGCTTGCCAAAGAGCCCCTGACACAAGTCACAGGAACCATCGCAGCTCCCACAGAGACGCCTTCCCAGATCTTTTTCACAGGATGCGCAACAGCGCATGTACAAGTGATCTCCTATAGCCGCGAAAGAGCCTTAGAAGCTGCATTTCCAGGATGATCACAGCCCTTATGTTAAAGCCAAGTGCTACAATTAAAAATAGATCAGCTTTGCCAGTGTTTTTACAGAAAAGGAAGAAGGGATTGCACAAGCCAAGACTAAGACCAGGAAATCTGGTCTAATTCAACAGCAACCAGGCCTAATCCAGGCTGAAAGACAGCGTGCAGGTAGGTAGCTGTAGTCATCACAATAGATTTATATTGCAAAACTGGAAATGTATTTTTAGAATCCGGCCTGGAAAGTGTCTCTTCAGAAAGAGATCAAGCACACCACAGCAGGGTCATTATGGGATTTGCAGAGCACCTTCAAATACAGGAGGACTGCTGGGGTGACTTCATCATGTCATTAAACCTTTCAGGATGCTAGCCTCATTCTTGCAGGTGTAACAAGCCTAGCACAGATGGGATTAGAAAACCTCACCCCCAGCCTGCACCACACATCTCAGAGCCACACCACGCGCTCATGGTATTGCTTGAACCCAATGGCTGAGTCAGCAAAGGGAACAGAGCGCTCTGCCAGTGCTGGGCTACCCACCGCCTTCCCAGGGAAAGCCCCCAGCAACCTCCCCGTCCACACGCTCCTGCCCTGCTGTGAGTCAGCACACCAAGAGCTGCCTCACTTCTGCTTTGGGGGGGTGGGGGAAGGGCTTCATTAGCCAGCTCCTGTGCCGAGCTGCTGCCTTTTACCAGTGTTAAATCCACGCGATTTCCTACAGCTGAAAAGCAAATTAGCTCATTAAATCACCTGCATTACACATCACACACAAGAACTGCACAGACCAGAGCAGCCATGCACAAACCAACTGCAGAAAGCTACTTGCTGATTTCCAGTTGCATTTCTGCCCATCTTCACAAAACTTGAAGGCTAGAGAAGGGCCTACACTTACCTCATTTTCCACGTGCATTCCCTCATCAGTTCCACATACCTGCAGTGATCTCCCAGGGAATAGTCCTGTCCCATCTGCTGCTTGCATCATGGATCCCTCTTTCCATTCAAACAAACTTTGAAAGCAGGTTAAGGCCACAGATTTCCTTCAGGGCTGGTTTTCGCAGGTACAAGGGGCTGATTTAGGCTGCACACAAGTGGAGCTGTAATCATCTCAAAGCCAGCACAGTGCAACCTCTTGCACTTCTCCCAGCTCCCAGATTTGTTCAGAAGCAAAGGCCTTACAGTTCAGAGTGCTTCAGTCAGCTGGTTGAGTCAAAGGGATCATTTTACTTTTAATCTGACATTCATTTTACAGTTTACAGAGCACAAGACCTTCTGTTTAAATTGTTCATTAAAGAACAGAAGCCCGGGGGGAACTCAGATAGGGAACCACCATCAAAACTACTGCTTTTCGTTAGCTTGCATGTTGTATGGAAATTGTTCCTCAAACTACTCAACTGCCGCTATCCTGCTTTTGACAGTGGAATTTCTGCGTCTCAGGCATTTGAATGCCCACGTTCTGCCCATTTAAAAATGGGATTAACAAGCCCAGTTTGGGTCAAGAAAAGTACACAATGGGCAGAGAGCACGGGGCAGACTCTGAAGGGTTATCTTAGCATAACACTACCCAGAGAAACAGCTGGTTCTGCTAAGACTACACCTTCTGTGGTGTTTCTTTTCTTTTGGGGGGGCAGGGGTAGAGAAGTATAATGAAAGCATAAAGTATCATCTTAATGGGGAGAAGCTCAACATTAGGTATGCGCTGGGCATGAACCTCTCTTCTTCCCCTCTACAGTCAGATGTGCGTGTACCTAACTGCACTACTGCCTCCACATGAGCGTCCAGCTGTGCCTCCAACACGGGGTGAGTACACTGCTTTCCACATGTCTGCTACCCTCCAATTCTCAAACTGTTTTCACAATTCGTCTTTGTATTACTCATACTGCTTTGTAGCTTTCATCATGTCCTTTTCTGATTTTTCATATCCCTGTAATCAACAAGATCAGGACCACAGAAGAAGTGTCAATCCGATTTTGTGGAAGATGAAATCAAGAGCTCTTGACATTTTACAAGAGCCCAGCCACTTGGTTAAAGTTTTTGCTTACATTTCATTATTTCTAACTTACTCAGGGAAGAGATCATTTAACTATGTCTTTTGAACAAGAATCTCGCCTTTGTTAATGTAGGGTTAAATATAAAACACATTGAAAGGTCACATGTGAAAGGAGCCATTCAAATCCACGACCGGGATAACGTGCAAACCCTCTACAATTGCTTATTTTTAGTCATCTTAATCCACATGTGCAGAACAGACACCTTACATGACAGCAGAAGGGCCATCTCCAGCCACCTTTCCCATCTCTCGGAAACAAAGCAGACAATCCCAAGATTTCTATTTTTGAAAAGTGTTTACTCACGTAGTTTGAATAAATTAATTTGCAAATAAAAATTAAACTACAGTATACTATAGTTTGAATAAAATGATTAGAACAACTACAATACAGGGATTTCTTGCTGCATAAGTTTCATTACTTAATGCATATAATCTGGAAAATGTCAAAATCAGTTATATTTCTATGGAAAGGGAGTAACAGCAGTTACTTGTACATGACAGCTAACTGAACTTATAATACAGGTTTCCTGACACATGCATTTCCTGAGTGAACCAAACAATATATATAATTTCTTTTTAAAAATGGAGAAACAATTGACAGTCAAAGTAAATAATTCATGACATCTAAGCAACACAGGTCTCTTTTTAAACCAAGAAAGTTTTAGAATAGCTTCGAAAGGAAAAATTAAAGCTATGCTATAAAGTACAGAAATTTGCTACCGTCAATTATACAGTACGTATTTTTTTAAAAAAGTATGAAGCTGGCCAAAAAAGCTCAACTCAATCCTAAAAGGTCAGGTTGTGTATTTGCCATGAAGCACAGTGGGTTAGCGGCAAAGCTGGATGTAGTGCACTGGCCTTTTCTGGTGGATACAGAGGGAAAGGAAGGGTAGGAAGGGGAGAGCAGGGAGAGACTACTAACTAGAGCCCACCTCAGCGTGAGCAGACCTTACGCAAGCATCCCACACACCGAGGTCTACGAGTCCCGTCCAGTCTCGGCTCAAGCTCTCCCCTGATAGACTGCCAATCGTGTCAAGTTGCACAAGGACGCAGGCACGCATCCCTTGGGTACCAGGCTTCAGCTTTGTTCCGTGCGTGGCCTAGGTGAGCATTTGCAGCCAGCTCCTCGCAGCAGGGTAAAGGCAAGCCTGTGAAGCCCGTGGCTCCCGCGCGCCCAAGTGCCAGTTTGCAACGGGCCAGCAGAAAGGCAGAACATCCGACTGACAAGCCTGTCACAAGGTGTGGCCTTGGCCAATTCACAAATTGCTCCCTGCTCCCCACACATGTGCACAGGCACATCTGCCTCTCCCCTCACCCCGCACCCCAAACGGCAAGGAACAAAATGAGCCTCGTCCTTCAGGTTTGTTAATGTTTAACATTGGAAAAACCCTCACAAATGTCACTAATGCTAAATAAAGAGATGTGTTAGCGTGAAGGGAGAAAAAAATCCTTAATCTAGACTAAGTTGCATATTCAAAGAGTCTGGTAAATATTCTCCTCATAACCAGATCTTAAGTACAGTCCTACCAAAAAGACATTTTAAGAAGTCCTTCTTAGCTACCTTTCAACATGGTTAAGCACACCTTTATGCCATCATAATTTGCATTAGCTTTGTTTAAAAAGCATTTTAACTATTCTAAGAACTCAGTATTTTAGATTAAAAAAGATTTTTCTACCATTTCCATCTCACGTCCTTCTCCATCCAGAACTACTCTACACATCCAATTGCTGGATGAACACACTATGACCATGCTACTCTCTAAACATTCTACGTATTTTCAATAATAAAGATAAATAGAAAAGAGTTAATATACACGTTATATTTTACAATGTTTGCATCCAAGCTGTAAACTAATGTTCTTTGAACTATTTACCCTCCATATACAAAAAGAATGAAACAACTTTCAAACACTGTGGGCATGTGATTCAAAACCATTAAATGGAAGGCATCAAAGTTCATTCTACAACACTTCACCTCTTCAGAAGTAGTTATTAGCTAAAAAAAAGCAGTTCTCCCCCTTCTCCCCCCATTTCTTCCATTTCCAGACTTTTCTCAATAGAGAGGGATTTAGCTGTTGTAACAAAAACCCAAAAATTCTTCATCTTAATGCAAACCAGCAAAGCCCAGAGAATACGAAAAACGGTTTAAAAATCAGAATCGCTTAGCTTATCAGTTTACTGCAGTCCTCAGTAACACATGTGTTAGTCAAGAGGTCCTTGGAAAATGAGTCTGATGTAACCTTGCTCACCAGCCAGCTGATGTGCACAGAACGGACAGGCTGCGTGAAAAGTGTGAGTACCATGAGGAAGAGGAATTTGGGACCAATATGCAGTTGTCTTTTCTGAGCACACGTGTCCACATGGGCTGAACGCATGAGTTGGAGGTCCTGCATCCACATAAAATCCTGCTTCGCATCCAAGCCACAGAGGCACATAGGGGCCGACGGAGCGGCACATGGGACACTCGCGATCCTTGCCGTCTCTCTCCTCTTTGTTTCCCCAGTTGTGATAGCCGTGGACGTGGCCACAGTTCAGATACACCCACGGCTGCTTTTCGTCTACAACATCTTTCCTCTTCATGCTGGGAAATGCCAAGGTGTTAAACCCCACGGGACACTGGGGCCTCGCCGCATTTATTTCCTGTCTTAGTGCCTCCAGGTGCTTGACAGTAGGAGTGCGTGAAAGCCCTTCCGCAGTGCGCCACAGCAGTGTTGCTCCACACAGGTCAATTAGAGAGCCATCTTGGAGTTGGTTCGTTTCGTTCTCAACCTTGTGATGGACAAAGGGAAAGAGAGAGGCGTCACCTAAGGTTACCTGAAGAGTAACATAAGGCACTTTCATAATACAAATCTGCCTGGGAGATCCAGACAAAAAGTTTCAAGCAGCTCCTGACTGTCCTGTGCAAGATACCCATAGAGAGCCCAGTGTCAGCTTCTCCCTCCCCTCTTTTTTAAAGAAAAAAAACAAAACAAAACTTGACAAGTCTTGTTTAGTCCTCCATCGCATTTTAGACTGTTTTCTTCAAACACACCTTTACGCACGGCTTTCCTCTCCTCTAGAAAAAGTCAGCTGTCAGCATTCCTAGCTAAATGCATCACTTAAATAAGCGTTCATGTAACATTTCTTTTTACTAAGAGATCCCAAGTCACACTAAAACCAATCATCTCCTTGAAATGTCGCCAATGCTTTGGAAACAAGAGGAAGAGGAAAACTCAGAATGCCAAGGTGGAAATGGATATCCAGGTATATAGGCATGTGTCAATAAGACTATAATTATTCTTTATTATTCTGTAAGAAATGAAAAGTGGGAAAACCTTAAAAGCCTAAACTCAAGAGGGAGAATCAGGAAAATACTCTTTAAAACGTGTGCATGACTGTGACAGTTTGCAGAAGAGCGTAGTAGACTGGCAACTCAATGTAGGAGAGCAGTCTAGATCTGCAACTAAGTACTAGTTTGCAGATAAATGTCAGTTATTCAGGTTGAGCAAGACACCTTCATGTATGAACACAGACACATAAGAAGTCAGTGTAACTAATTACAGAGGTGACATCTACACTGAATGAGGCAGATTCCAGCCTCTGTTTATGCCCAAGCTGCACCACTTAGGGTTGTACCCATTTTAAACAGGCTGCATAAAACATCGGTTACTACTCTTACCATTTTTCCCCTCTGCTGAGCTGATCTGGTTTCACGGAGGCTGAACACATTCCCACAGACAGATATCTCTCGCCACACCCCTGGCTTGGAGTCTTCTGTAAATCCATTACGGGGATGCATAACAAGAACACCATTTGTGGTTAGCCCATCCATTTGCCCATCTGATGTCTTCCACTTCGCAGCTTTCTCCTAAGAGAAATCACATCAATGATAACTTTTAATTTGGCTGAAGTGGAGCTATGAATTAGTTTAAAAATAAGCCTGCATTGAACTCGGAGGAAAAAAGAAACAGTTCCCTTACCCCAAGAAAGATGTTTTTTGAGGAGTCAAATCCTGCAGCATATATTCTTGCTGTAAAAGGAGGGTTACGTTCACATATGATTCTGCAGGCAAACCTTGATATAGTGCTCTGCACAGACTGTGTATCTGAATTACTCTGACTTCCAGGAACTGTGTCTGTCACAACAAAGTCTATAGGACTCTCCGTTGACCGACCAATCTGGAAAGGGATTTAAAAAAAAAAAACAAAACAAAAACAAACAACCATGTAGAAGTTTGGCTTTGGGTCTAGGAATATTCAAACTCAAAGCATTTAAAAAAATCATGACATTCCAGTTTGAAGCATTCCTCTCCACCAATCTAAATTTAGGTTTCTAAAGCCTAATCTGAATTGATGAGTTATGCCACCTCTGTGTGATCAAAGTTATTCTGAAATCTGAATATAGCCAAGTGAAGGAACGGGAAATAAAATGATGTAATTAAGTCAATTCTGAGATGACTTCCCATTGAAGGCCTTCTCATCAGAAAGGTTACATTCAGGTCAGCCAGACCAGCTGCAGCAGCGCCAAAACAGCTAGGAAACTGCAGTTAGATGGAAGAAAAGTGGTATTCAGTCACTTTGCATGCCCAGAATATTCTGAACAATGCCAGGCTAGGTGGAGGTGTAGATATAGGAAAATTAGATTATGTGAGCTGACTCTCCAGCTCCGGTGGGGCACTGAGAAGCAGCAAATCTGTCAGGAAAGACCAGGTACAAGATGTTTGTGGTGGTGGGGAGGGGTTACATTAATATGCACTGAACACAACAGGAATACAACATCTGACTACAACCAGATTTTTCTAGTAGCTGCACCTTCTTTTCTGGTTGCATGGAAGAATGAGTTTTGCAGTCCCACACAACTCTACTGGGTTTTATAGAATTGCGCGGGTTTCACTGCTTTTCCAAGTCAACTCATCTTGTCCTTTTCCTTCTAAAGCATAAAGAGAAGTTATATCCCTCTCCCAAACATCCATGTAGCCAGGTTGAAAGCCCACTTACACACTACCATCTTTCACTCAGTTTCAGAGCTCTCAACAGCTTCTTATAAAATAGCTGGTTATATTAAGACTGATTAATAGAACTCCTGCCGGGCAGGAGACCCAACAGCCTGAGGTGCTTTTTGGTGAAGGCTGGAGAGCTTTCATGAGACTGAAACTGCTTTGTCAGAATGTATTTTTCTATTGCTTCTTAAGCAGGATAACCCATCAGCACACATGGATTGCCGCTGGCAATTTTAGAGCGGCATACATGCCACAGCATGCCTGAAGAGAGAACACTTACACAAACAATAGCTTATGCTGCAGTTAGTTCGTTACAGCCCTTTTGCTCTGTTGTAGGTATGTGCAGTTGCATAGCAGCTTCCTCCACCACTTACCAACACCTCCCACCTCCTTAGATCCTGCAGTGGCGTCACAGCTAAATGCTGTGACAGCAAAACTCCTTGCCATAAATTAGCGACAACAAAAAAAAAAAAATCAATGCAAGATCAGTCCAGGAATCAGAAGGAACAAAGCACACAAAAAAACCCCAAAACAAAACCCTTCCTTTTGAGAAAAACAGGAAACAATTCTAAGATATGAGCGCACACCACAGCTGCAAATATGTTTGTGGTTCCTTCTCATACATACAGGAACTGCAGCAAAGTTGCTCTGAACTGCCAGCACATCAGAACTGGGCCTCCTCTCTCCACATTTCCCAGCGCTTTAGACTTGTTTCTGGGTTTGCTTAAAGGAGTTAGGGGTATTTTTCATATTAGTTGTGTCAAAAGCTTTTCTGTAGGTTCCCATTGCATTTCTACCACCCCGTCTCCAACTGGCTGATCCCAAATCTCTTTGTAAATGCTAGAAGCAAAGTTCCAAGTGCTTAAAGAGAACTGTGCACTTTATTCTTCATTTTGCAAGGAGGGACTAGGAGACAGGTTACGTAACTTGCAGACTGGCAATCAAAGGCAAAACCATAATCCTGTGCATTAGTCACAAAAAAAACAACTTTCACCTCTGACCAAGCCTAAGAGAGATGCACAGATATACAGCCTTGTTCATGTGATGGGCCTTGGGAATGAACAGAATTAAACGTCTCTGAATAGTAAAGTGCAGAAAGTGACACACGCAAACTTTTGGGTCTGAGGGAAAAAGCCTGTTGAGAGGATGTCTTGCAGAAACTACCAAAGTGAGAATACATTTATATATCATATTTACTTCACATACCTGAAACATATCTGTGTTGCTGTCATGTGTATATTCAACTACTACAGTCTGGGCCCGAGACAAAGTATAAGATATGCTGTGTTGGTCCTTATTACTTATTGCCTATGGAAAAAATGCCAAATATTATTGAACCAGGGAACAATAACTCTGAATACAGCAGCAAAGCAGACAAAATATATAACCAGGCTCTTATTCTGCTCAATTAATGCATTAAGGCAGATGGTTGTTAATGATACACCTGTAGTTAAACTTCACAAAAACCAGTCCTGGCCATTAAAAAAAGCTGCAGGATTGATTCAGCAACAGACCAAACTGGTCTCTTCACTGCACACTGCAACAAAATACACGTAACCAAGACATATTATTAGTCATGCTTTGTGTTAAAGCAATGCTGGCCTTAACACAAAAGTACAAAACAACTGAGTGCAAAGGCTAAAACTGAACCTAACACCTTCATGGCCTTCTCAGCCTGAACTTCTCCAACAGCAAAGTGAGGACAAAAACTTAGGGACTTCATTCTAAAAATGGCATCCGAGCTCATACTAAAATCAGTGATGATTAATAAGATATAGGCAAAAAACATAACAAGTAGTGGTGGTAAACAGGGTAAAATGGAGAAACTCAGCACAGGTTGCAGAAGTTGTAGCAAAATAATCTAGGTTTCACTTTGTTAGTCTAGATTTTCATTCTGCAACTAAGGAACTGAACAAACACTCTTCTACAAGTGCTGCTAAATAGCACTTACTTGAAGACCATAAAGACTGAGCAAAAGTAAGTGTTCTTTTCACAGATGTCCTATAGATATAATTCTATTACAAGAACTTTGGTTAGCAAAATGCTTTTGATTTCAGAATACTTTATGCCATTCCATAATTTAGGAATCAATATTCTTACGTGTCAAGGTATTTAGGGAGTCAAACACTTAACACTACTGTATTTAAGGGCCTGATCTCGACACAGGAGATCTCTAAACAACTACTAAGCATTCTCAGATACCCTTGGTTTTAGTAGAAATGCTCCATTTGTTATTGAACATAATTGCACATACACTTGAATCGCCACAATACAGAAGTATTTCATGGTAATACCTTAGCTATAATATATTAGTTCTGACATGAAATACAATTCAACTTCAGGACCTAAGCCCTTCCTTTACTGCTTCTTAATGGGAACTCTGAACTTGATTACAAGGAGTATAAAACATGCCCTGCAAAACCCACCTGTCCTTATCCCTGGGGAACTCCTACCCATTGGACAGAATAGCAAGTGCACGGAGAGCTTTGGCAAAGGACCATTTCAAAGTCAGCTTCACGTGAAGCGAAGTTAGCCCTAAAGCATGAATGAGTGCGAAAACAGGAAGGCCAGAACAGATGTCTGTAGTGAGTTTGGAAGGAAAACAAAATAGAAAGTGTTTTACATGACTAGCCTGTGCCCTGAACATTCATGTTTCAAAAATAAATATTTTTCTTTCTGGACATGGCAAGGACTGGGCATCAGATTTGTTTTGCTGAACGGTTTCTTGCTAACCCTGACAGGTACCAAAAAAACTTGGATAAACACGAACCATTCTTTTTGCAGCAAGAACTTCATGCTTTTTACATCATTTCATCTCAGCATAACAGCCCTGACTTCACTGAACTCTTTAGACAGCACCAGGAGAAATCGGACTTAACTAGTCAAGCTTACCTTTGCTGCTTGAGGGGTACAGGCAATATGCACAGTGCTAGGTTTCACCCCATTTGCCTTGGGCCTTTTAAATAAAGCAAACCTACTTTTTCTTCTTCCTCTATCTCCATTTGGGAGAGACCCATTGTACCTACCAAAAAAGACAGAAAAAGAACAAAGTCCATCTTCCTGCATTACTTAGCTTCTCACAAGATACAGACCCACAAGAACTTTCATACTAAGCACAAAGTCTTCTTAAATAGTACGGTATTGAAAAAATTACAGATTTCCAATTAATCACATCTATTTAAATCTGAGAATTGATAAACAATATTAAAACATGCCCATGGAATTACAGCATATGCACACAAAGCTTGTAGAGCAAGGAATGCTACCCAGATTAATCTCAAAGCTGCTATTGACAAGCAAAAGAGACTCTGGTCCCAAACATGAAAACAACTAAGGTTATATGCTTATCTGTAGCTTTATCTCTACATGGTGTGTTCACACTGTAAATGAAAGAATCTAGACACTCACCAAGCCTGGTGGAGAGGTAATATTTTAGAGAATTTTGGTTGGAAAAAACCCCGTGTAAGAACAGACATACTGTCCTCAGAGACTCTGATTTAATCTACCAGAAAACCCTCTGACCCTCGCTTTGAACATGTCAACATAAACAGGCCAGCCAGCAAACCTGCTTTATTAACATCTTCTGTTTGCACTTGGATAATAGAGAGTCAGCTACCATGTTCTTATAAAACTCCTTTCATTTTACTTCTAGTCCTAGGGAACCTATCTCTCCTTCCACATTATCACATTAGTCATCTGTCTAGGTACAACCTGGAACCAACTGGGAAACCCTTCACAAATTCACTGCCTTTGTCATGAAACACTGGGAAGAACACAAGAGCCAAAAATAAACTTATGACTACTCAGCTGTTTTGAGCCCTACCTCCACACTCATGTTGTCACAAAAAAGTATGCGTGCTGCAGTGCAATTTTCCAATACATCACATTCCGTATAACACCTGGTTGCCACTGAAAAAGCTAACCCTCCCTCCACTCCCTCCCTTACATGAGATCAGCTACCAAAGAAAAGCTGATCAACTCACCATTTAGTTGCATGCTCACTAGATACACTGCAAAAGAGGGAGTCCAAGCGAGAGGTGGTGGGACCATCTCTCACAGTAACCTGCATTTTATCTGCTTTAAGTGCACCCTGAAATTCTACCTCCATTCTCACTTCCAACCAAGACACATACACTTACCCTAATACAATCAATTCACCATATTTTACTGGTGCTTTTGATGGATGATTTTCTTGATCAGGAGAAAACATGAGCTTAGCTAATGACTTCTTCTCAAATTTCAGGTCTCTGATCAAGAGTTGTGGCACGCTTTTTTCATTATTTCCTGTAAAAACAAAGACAAAATTAAATGTAAAAAAAAAACTCTCAAAGCCATCAATTAACAAACCTGCACACCTATCTGATACAGTAGGTACAATATTTTGTGTTTTCCATATTTTCGTTTTGCCTGAAATAATTTTAAAAACATACATATAAAACCACATCAATGAAGGTTGAATTGCCTGGAAGAACTACCAGATCACAAAAAACCACAAGTGCATTTAGAAATTTCCAGTATGGCCTTGATAAAACATCCACAGTTGTTTTCCTTCATGCTAGTTTTCAGTATAAATAGTATATAGCTTCATTTAGTATGTTTGGTTCAACTATCAAGAAGCAGAGCCAGATAGGGATTAAATTTAAAGGGGAAAAAAAACCACAACAAAGCAAGACCAGTCCATTAGCTAAAGAGGTAGAAGTTTTCACGGAAAGTATCTGATTCGGAGCTTTCCAAGAAATTTCTGGATTTGCGGATGGAAGGAAGTTGTACGACAACAAGTCTACCATACAAGTTTGGGGCATGCATTGTGATCTCTCATGCTTAACCAGAGACCAAAGTGATACAAACAGCTGTTTGAAGGAGATTTCCTGAGGGAATTCCACATAATTTTTAACGAGAACAGTCTCTTGAAGTGCAATTTTTCATCATACTTCTGCTTTGAGGAACAGTTCACACTAGTATTTTTTACAGCTTCTCATCAGTAACATTTCCAGACAACTCTGACCTACCCAACCCATCCCTGACCTTCCTATAGAGAAAGCCTACCCAACAGAGCACTTGCTCGATAAAGAATAAAGCTGATGCTAGCCTGTTTGAGGCTTTCTTTAACAGAAACAAGAACACTCCTTTGGTTCTTCCAAGTAAGTTTTCATATCAACTCAAAAAGCTATTAAGTTTTTTTTAGTACTGATAGTTAACATTCTGCTTTCTGTTCAAATACAGATTTTGGCTCATATAACATTTCTTGTATCCTGTCATCAACTTTTAATCACGACTACAATGTTGTATCCCCATTTTCTTCTATTTCAACTAGACTGTAGATATTAGAAGAAAAGATACCATCATGCAGATTTTATCTACCCCATCTTCTGTCCTAACAACACAGAAAAGGATGTGGCAGTGCTTGACACCCTGCTCACATTCATTCAGAAGCTGATGCAAAGATCCCTCTACTGACCTGATCTCTACCCTGTCTTGGTGGTCTTTGCTCCTTCACAGAGAAGCTTGGGTTCAACATCTCTTCTCAGTCTACCAATTTCTTATTCAGCACGGATATGTTGATCTCCACCTGCAATCAGCTCACAGTGCTATCCAAAAATTCAGTATGCTCCTTCATTGCCTTCTTACATGCTATCCCACGTATTTAGGAGGGCTTCACACAAATACATGCAAAGACATCTTGTTGTCCTTCAAACTTTTGCTGTGATGCCTGCAGAATACAACCAGGAGGCTAACCTGAAGCCTTTCTTTTTTCCTTTCATTTCTCATTGTTTTCCAAATCTCTTCTCTTTTGCTCTCAAGTCTGGGTACTGTGGATTTCATAGTGCTTGGAATAAGTTAACTGAAGGCTGTCTTTGTGGTTAGCACACGTGTAACATTATCACAACGGTACCCTGACCCACTGCTAGATGTGTGAGGGCACTGTAATAAACCTGATCTGCACAACACTACTGTGAAGTGTCTGCGTCCCGTCTACACGACAGTTACACCAATATTACTTTTGTCGCATAGGAAGCAGTGTGCATTTTCACTAGGCAGCTACCCTGGTTCAAGCCTTATGGTATCTATCATTTAGCTGGTGCAGAAAGTGCCTTATACTGATCCAGCAGTCCTCATTTGTCACACAGGAATAGCAACAGCAGCACAGGAGTGCGCGAAGCAGTACAGTTTGTTCAGAAGCATTTCTAGATTGCTGACCCACGTGTAGCAGTACGTTAACTGGGATGGTGAGGGTACTTACTGTTGTAGGCAGGGCCCAAGGTTTTGCCTTTAAAATTCTAAATTAAGAATTTAAAGCAAACTTATCATATAAAAATGTGACCTTAAACACCTATCATACCAGTAGCCATAACACATCGAAGTGGAGATTGTCCCATTTGATAAATGGAGCCACAAAACATTAGCTGTGTTCACAATTTTCATGTTTGCTATGGCCATCTGGGGTCTTCCTTGCCTCCTGGCACCACAACCCCCCTCAGAGCACCACACCAGCAATTCTCTGAAACCATGTGCCTTTGAAGATGGCTCAGGGGTGGTTTACTGATATTAATACTAAACTATCTAGCTCTTAGTGTTTAACAGCACTCGGTTCTCTAGCCACATCTCCTTTCTGAAGTATTTCTACTTATGTGAGTGTAAATCTTAAATATTTATCTGTGTATAGATATAAGGATATAAATATACTTACTATGAGGTATTACTATCAACTTCAGTATTTCTTGTTTTGCTTTATTTTAAAATCTTCTTGCATTATAGTTGCTTACATATTGACTTCTAAAAACAGCTCCTAATGTTTTAATCTCCTGCCCAAAGGATTAACCTATTTTCTACTTGAATATTGATCTCCTCAGCAGTCTCCCCTGCACTTCAGTCTTCTCCACATACAATTAATTTCATCTTGGCCATTGCATTTCACATGCAATATTTCACATTTCTTTGCTAGAATACATAATGGTTGTCCTTTGAATTGGCATTTAACAACTCAGGAGAAATACTGCTATGAATCTATAGCACCGCCCATTAGGAAATAGCACAGGACTAGTAAATACCATGACAGGGTTAAAAAAAAAAAAAAAAAAGATTTGAATAGTGACCACCCAACACTATGGTGTTTGAAAAAGAGCTAATCCATTTACTTAGAGAAGGTGGGAAGGCAACCATTAAAAATAACTAACTTTTGCCATTAGTACAAGAAAAGGTTTGGCATAACTTCTCTTCTGTTCACCCAAGTGAACAATTTCGTGGAAAGCTAAGAAATACATCTCCCAGTCACAGAGTCAGCTTCTGAGTCTCATTAAAAGTAATCACACATGAACAGTTAAAGGAGACTCTATTTTAAAGAGTTACCTGAACAGGTGGCCAGTAACTTCCTCTTAGGAGATAACTGAGCAGGGGGCCAACAGTTCCAAGTGACAGACTTCAGCAACGCAAGAAGTTAACTAGAACATCTTAATACAAGGAAAAGTGTCCAACATCTAATGCTCAGCTCCCCCTTATACATTTTTTGTTTCACATTTAAAGAAATCCAGCCAAGTCTACTTTGGGGCCAGCACATACGATGGAAACCCACTTCTTATTTGACTTAAGGAAGGTTCAAGAGTTAGCAATCTAGAACTACCATTAGTAAAACAGCTTGTTCCTACATTTTCAAAGGCAAGGCTTGAATGTTTAAACTTAATTTTTTTAAATATGTCTCAGAACCTTTATGAGCTGCACACATCACTTTCACAGCTACTAACACCCAGTAACTTCAACTCAAGCACATACAAAATCCAGAGCCCCTAAAAAAAAAAATCAGCGCAACGTACATGCTACTTCTCACCCAGAATGATCTGCCTGATGCACTGTACCCAAAAGGAAGACTCATTTCATTCCCAGAAATAACAAAGATTAATTATATTCTCCCAATGAGGTCCCGAAGACTAGTCCAAGTGAAATTTGATGTCTGCAAATAAAACTCAAGTGTTGTCCCACTGGAGAGGAGTCTAATAATAGGCCATGTGATAACATCTCCACTCCTGAAACAGAGCAGGCTTACAGATCATTTAAAGCTGGATAAAGCATTTAAGAACTTACAGGAGGGAATGCTCTTGAGTGGAAAGATCAACTAATTTATATAATAAGCCTTCTCTTGTAGAATAACCTGTCCTATTTTTATTCCTATAAAGAGAAGAGACTTCTTAAAAGTGTTAGGAAAGGCTAATTAAATATGTTAAAAAGACAGCTTGGCCCTGTAGTGCCAGTATACAACTAAGCAACTGACTGCTTGAGCAAAACATGTGAAAGTTAGCTTCTCTGGCCACTGGTGGAACAGGCTTCATTGAAGTAGGCTCTGAACAGCCAACTGTTCCAAAACTTCTCCAAGACCCTTCCATGCTGATAAGCAATAAGGTGTTAATTATAAGATCCCATCCCATCCTACATTCTTCCAAAATCATAGCACTGGTAGCAGCAAATTTTTACCTCAAGATCTCTGCTTCTGCTAGAGAGAAGAGACCAAAGCCTGAAAACCCCTACCTGTGCACAGTCCTGTATTATATAGTATAATAGATTTTGTGAGTAAAGCAACTTGCACACAGAGAAAACAATTTTGGAAAGGCATTGCTTGATTGGGTAAGAGGTGAACACAACTATCTGCAGTTGTGACAAAAACACGATGGGTACCAGTGAGTGCCTTTTAGTCTCAAAAATAGGAAACCGGAATGGGAAAAACTCATGAACAAGTAATACATTTTTATTCTTAACACTGGTTCCTCTGGAGCTGGGAGAAAGCTCATGGAAGGTAACTTGCACAATACTGTCACATGCAACTGTTTTGAGGGACTGGAAAGAGATTACACCTAAACTGAAAAAGTATTTTAAATTTGTTTTAGGAATGGAAACCCAGTTTCTTACAAGCCTTCTTGTTCAATATTCACTAGCGTCGCAGAAGGCAAAGATTGCTATGGCAGAAAGCAAGCCACAGATTTCTGATTATATTCAAGTAGAAGGAAAAGCTGTATCATTGTGCTCTCTCCTGTCAGATTCAAACACTAGTCTCTGAATCTGGAGGCAGACTATTCTCCAGGAAGACCCAGCAAACTGTGCTTCAGAGTAGATGAAGAGTTTAAGAGTCTGCCCACCTTCACCGCATATGCCATTTTCAGTGGGGGACCTAGAGATATAATGAATTTTGGTTGGTTTTGAACTATCAGCTTTAGCTTACCAGCCATCCTCGATCATTCAGCTGCCTTTTCTGATCGTAAGACTCATACACGACTAGTCTTTGGTGGCTTCTAC